TAAACCAGTTTAATACCAGTTTAATACCAGTTTAATACCAGTCTAAACCAGACTAGACCAGAGTAAACTAGTTTAATACCAGTTTAATACCAGTCTAAACCAGAGTAAACCAGTTTAATACCAGTCTAAACCAGAGTAAACCAGTTTAATACCAGTGTGAACCATCCAAGCAAAGTCCCCAAAGTAGTCTAGACCTAATTTTAAAATCTTGTCCGATAACCAGTCTTCTGAACCAGTTAAAGACCAGTCTGAAACCACGTACACAAGTAGACTGAACATGTTAAAAACCCGTCTGAAACCAGTCTAATGTTAGGCCAATACCAGTTCAAATCCAGTCTAAACCAGGTCTAAAAGCAGTTCACAGAAAGAACTAAACAAGCTCATTTGTATAATAATAACAACAATAATGTATAATACTAATAGTACAGTCATCGTAATCTGATAATGGTACAAAACCAGCCTCAGGTCAGAACGAACGTGACACTGGATCCATAACCGGTCTAAGCCAGTCTAACCAAGCCATAAAGCAGTCTAAATCTCATTTTAAAATCTGGTCCAAAACCTAGTCTGAATCCAGTTTGAAACCAAGTTCACAACCACACTCTAAACCATTCCAGAACCGGGTCCAGAATGCAGTCTAAACCAAATCAACAATCTGGCCCAAGTCCAGTATGACACCAAAGTCTAAACCAGTCCAGTTAAACCCATCTAAACCCAGTCCAACATAACAGTCTAAAACTAGACCAACAACCTCCAAACCAGTTTGAAAATCTGGTCCAGAACCAGTTCCAAACCAGTCCAACCCAGGTCTAAAACAGCAGTAAAGCCAAATCAAGTGCTCCACTGTGATTTTAGATCTATGGTTCTTTCTGGAGCTCATGCGGGTCACCAGAACCATGTTCCTTTGGTCCAGTTGAAAGTGTCGGATAACACCACAGTTCTAGTGTTGAGCTAAATGATTCTGTGAAACGGTAAACCGGGTCGAACGTTTGACACCAGAACAGTAAAATCCGTGTTCACATGTTGAAGCTGCACAGAATCGTATTTCTCATTAAACACGAGACAGACAGGAAATCGGGTCGTGTTCTGGTTCTGTTACCGAGCATGTTAGAGGACTCGATCAGCGTTGTGTCCAGGTCGGTCCAGTACAGCCGCCGCTCTGCGTAGTCGATGGTCAGTCCGTTGGCTCGGCCCACGTCGGCCACCAGCGTGAGCCGGCCCGTCCCGTCCATCGCTGCTCGGTCAATCTTGGGCTTCCCACCCCACTCGGTCCAGTACATGTACCTGAAGACAGAACCGGGTCAGTATGGACCCGAGGACAGAAGAATAAACTCATCTTTCTTGGTTCTCACCCCTCAGCAGGATCCAGAGCCAGAGCCCGAGGACTGTCCAGGTCCTTCCACACCAGAACCTGCCGGTGCTGCCCGTCCAGTTTGGCCACCTCAATGCGGTTGGTGCCGGTGTCAGCCCAGTAAAGGTTCTTCCCCAGCCAGTCCACTGCCATCCCCTCCGGATAGTCCAGACCGAACTCCACCACGTGCTCCAGGGCGCTGCCGTTCATGAAGGCCCGGCTGATGGTCTGTGGGTCAGAGAGGACGGGTTAGACGGCGGCGCTGAGGACGGGTACGGTACCAGGTCAACGGCACACCAGTTTGTACAGAAAGCTTACAGTACTGGTTTAAATGTGCATGGTTCTGGACAGTTAAACCAGAAAGTTTTCAGAGTGGGCCTTTTGGATCAGTACTTTCTAAAACTACAGTTTCTCAGTGAACTCAGTGATGATGGACCAAGACGGTGGATCAGAACCAAAACAATCAGCTTAATGTGGATCAGAACCAAAACAAGCAGCTTAATGTTTGTATATCTGGTTTTCAAACGGAGCTATCTGACTTATACGGAGACGACTGAGACTCTGGTGGTCCTCGAACCTTCAGAGTGATGTCGGTCCAGTAGATGCGGTTGTCGGTGACGTCGAAGTCCAGCGCCGACGCCTCCTTGACGCCGGTCAGCGGGATCGCCACGTTGTTGTTGTTGGTCTCCAGGGAGATCCGGCGGATGTCGGTGTGGCGGGAGAACAGCAGGAAGGCCTCGGGGACGATGCAGGTCCTCATGTCGGCGATGAGCTCCAGACCGATCGGGCAGCCGCACTGGACGCCCTGAGGCTTGTAGAGGCACAGGTGGCTGCAGCCGCCGTTGTTCTCCGCACAGGGGTTGGTACCTGAGGAGGGGGCGGGGTCACAGACATCAGGTAAAAACACAACATCCCTGATACACAGATCACCAGTGTATCATAAACACACGTTCTTTATCGTTTAACATCAAACAATCATCCCGTGTTTATGCTGTGGCTCCGCCCTCTTGATGACATCACTCAGCCTGAGCCTATCAGCGGACTCACCAAAGGTCTTGTGCACGTATGTGGCCTTGAGGCCCATGAGGTCGGGCAGCTGGTCGATGATGAACTCGCGCTCGGCGCTGCGCTTGTGGACGCGCTCGATGCTGCGGCGCTGCCAGTCCGTCCAGTAGATGTAGTCGCCGAGGAGCGTGAAGCCGAAGATGTGAGGAAGCTTGTCCTCGACCAGCACCCGTCGGCCCGACCCGTCCATGTTCATCACCTGCAGGCAGACGGACAGGTGGAGGTTAAAACAGCACTGTGGGGTTCAGCCTGGACACCATGACTGAGACGTCTGAGGCAGCTAACGAGCTCCGCGCAGGATGGTTACGACATCCTGCTTTCACTCCACCGCCAGGTTTACTGGCTGCTGCTGCTGCTGCTGTGGTGGTTTTACCAGCATCATCAGCACAGAAATGTAATTAAATTCACCTCAAATTTCACTGATGTTGAAGTGCAGTCAGTGTTATTGAGCAGCACATTTAAACCCAGATGCTAAGCAGAGGGCTTCACTGAGAGCCAATGGAGTCAATAACTACACTGATTAACCAACTCAAAGTTTAGCTTTATTTTTGTCTAACGTGGATTGTTAAATGTTTTTCATCGCTCATTATCATCATATCTCTGTACATGGCACCTATCTTCAGGCTCTACAGGTAAACCCAGAGGTGAAGCTGAGCGTCAGGTGAAGACCACCTGAAGGAAACCGTCTGCTGCTATGTTCACATGTAGTATTTCATTCCAGTTCCTGGTATTTATCACGTAAACAAATCTGCAGAACCAGATTTAATCCTCACATCTCCCCCCTGATCAGAACCAGACCGAAGCGTCACACCTCCCTGATCAGAACCAGGTTGGCCCAAACAAACTCCGTCTAAAGGCTGAGTTCAGAGACCCAGCTGAGTCACGGCGCTCGGTTCCCATGATGCCCGGCTGCAGGAGGGGGGGGGGCAGACTGACGGGAGTCTCCGCATTGTTTCTCGCCGTGGATACTGAGCGCGCTCAGAGGAGCTCAGGCGACCTGGCAGCACATCGCAGCGCCGCTAATTAGAAGCAACAGCCGGAGCAAACAAACAACGGCAGCATATGGACGCCACATTTCTTCTTCTGCTGCTCTCACAAACTTTGACATCTCACTTCTACAAACCAGCGGTGTTTCCATGGAGACGGCTACAGACCAGAATAACCGAACCTGGGTCTGAACACAGAAACTGAAAGACAATGAAACCCAGAAGCCTGACTGCAGGACAGACCGAGGCACCGAGCAGCAGATTACTGCTGGAACACAGGTTCTACTTTATGGGTCCTCAGGGTTCATCTGCTTTCTGTGTTTCATACTTTAACTTCAGATTTAAATTTAAGCCTTTGGTGTTCAATGACTCCTGTAGGTCCCACCTCAGATCTAAATGTACCTTCTCTGATAGCAGACGTCCATCAGCCTCCACCAGCAGCAGACACCCTCTAACCAACAGACCAGCCATCCTGTTATTAGACGTGTTTGACTGACTGGTCAGGACGACTGAACACTGTTACTGTGGATCATGTTCTGGATCAATCACTGCAGCCTGACTCTGGCTCATTTTTAATAACTTGAATAAAAACAATATTTCATCTGCATTGTTTAAACAGTTTGGTTATAATGAACTGTGACCTTCTGAGTCTCCTTTTTGTTTTCTATCGAAGCACTTCGTAAACTCTTGTTTATGAAAGCGCTGATTAAATAAAGTTATTATATTTATCATTACTGTCCGATGTGCGCGTCTGCATCAGCCTGAACATGTTCCCACATCATAACAACGTCTTCAGGTGTCTGTAGCTTCATGTCCGACACAGAGAACCATCGAATCTTCATGTTTGTGGAGCTGAAACCAGAACATTTGACATTTTTCGGTGAAATGACTCCTGACTGTGGTTTACACTGAGATGACGTTCAGAGTGAAGCTAAATCTGCCTCTGAAGCCTCCTGAGCAGATCAGCGAAGTGCGATAAGCTGATTTCTGAAACATGCAGAGAGCGAAGTGGAAAAATGTGAGGAATCTGCAGCGGAGCGACGAGCAGCGAGGCCTGTAATCTGTGCAGCGCCGCGATTCGCTGCAGCCGGAGCAGCCCTGCATGGCCGCCTGCCATCGCTCCAAACATCCTGCAGGAACGCTGGTTAAATATAAAGCGAAGTTTCCATCCTCAGCCGTGGCCTCAGCCAAAAGGTCTCCGCTGGTTTGGAGCCGAACCGCACTGCGGCGACGGTTTCAGATTCTGGGTCTATTCTAAACAGAGCCGACCGCAGCTGGAGGGCGGCCCGCAATCGGAACCAGATGTGGGATCTCACCGCAAGAAGCGGGTCCTGGGAGGAACCTGAGGGAGGGACGGGGCCCCTCGGACCGCCAAGGGGGTCAGGTGGGGTCCTGCCCCCAGGAGGGTAGAATAACGGAGCAGCGGGCGGGATGGCGTGAGCACGAAACCACAGAGTGTTACTGCCGGACACAGAGTTTAACAGCTTTCTGACGGCGCTGATCCGAGTCAAACGGAGGACAGAACCTAACTGCAGCTGAGATCAGGTGAACCAGCCTTCTGGAGGAAACGGCTGAGGACAGATGACCGACGTGGACTTGGAGGTATTTTGAGAACCAACTGGTCGTTTCAGGCAAATGTTGAGCAAAAGCTACAGATGTTTATTCTTAAAAGTGTTAATTTGATGCTTTTTGGTGAAATCCGTTAACACATGAGATCCACACAACGACGTGAATTGGATCAGAACATGAAGCGCAGCCTTGGTATCAGGTTAACATCACAGCTCACTTCATGTCTGATGTTTCATGAACAACAAAAACTAAATATTCAGTGTTTTATCAAGGAAATGAAGGAAAAGCAAAGAATTGTCATACTTGAGGAGACAGAACAGTAATATGCCTTAAATGATTAATTGTCTTCATTAAGACGTTAATATTAATCAACTTGAAGCAGCTTTCCGACGGTCCTTGAACACATCATCAGCGATGCGCCGTTCCTTCAGAAAACGATCCGATAACGCCACGATTGATCAGAACAACCTGGTCTGAGTTCTGAACAATAAATATAACTCCAGCTGACTCTTCATATCAGGACGAGCTGAAGAAACCACTGAAGCCAGAGAGTCGATGCAGCAGCAAATACAACAGATCAAACACAGCAGACGTTCTCCAAACCCCAAAACACATGTTAATATTTCATCGCCATCACTTTACTCGACACGTCTCAATCCAACAGACTCTCCAACACCAAGCTGTTGTGGAGCCTCCATTTGTTTCAGTACAGAAACAAGATTAATGCTAAATGTTAACACTGTCCATTAGTTCTGAGGGTAAGTTCTTGTGGACCTGACATGACATGAGTCATACAGACCCGAACCAAACCGGCAGCAGGAGGATAAATCAAACACAGACCTCGATCTTGTCCGTCTTGGCGTCTCCCCAGTAGATTTTTCTTTCGTCGTAGTCGAGCGCGAGTCCGTTGGGCCACCCCAGAGACGTGTTCACCATCACCACCCGCTCCATCCCGTCCAGGTCCGCTCGCTCGATCTTAGGAACCTCACCCCAGTCGGTCCAGTACATGTACCTGAAGAACAGGAGGAGAGCGTCAACGCTGCTTCCATCAGAGGCTTTTAGAAAGTTCTGAGAGAATTTTTAGAGATCAACAGAAAGTTACTTTAAAAACAAGCAGCACAACTTAAATCTTCTAAAAAGATCGCTGAAAAAAAATCTGATTTAGATATTTGGTACAATAAAGTTTGAATATAAATGTAAGTCTATATTATGTAATGTGCAGAAAATGGATATTTTTCTTGGTGAATATCTCCTCAAAGTGATTCACAGATGAACAAACCCTCTCTGTTCATTTTATTTTTAGTACGCCTGCCCTGAACATTTTCCAAACCAGCTGTAGTACCTGGTTGTTCCACCAGGGGGAGCCTCTCACTGTTCAGTCCTGTAGAGACCAGAGGAGGCGTCTACAGACTACAGCTCATGGTGGCAGCAGAGAGCATTGTGGGAGTTTAGCAGCAACGGGACCATGACAGAGACTCTGAGGAGGTTCAGGACCTCCAACCAGAGCTCAGGTGTTAAATGGAAACGTGACCAGAACATTGCTCCCACATCCTGGTTCCAGAACATGTCAGCTGCTTTGACACCAGTGTTACTGCAGGACCACTATACCCTACGGATCGGTATCGCTGCACTTTTAGTCAGCTAGATAGACTCACCCGGCCACGGGGTCCAGTACGATGGCCCTCGGCTCATCCAGGTCCTCAGAGATCAGGATCTTTCGCATGGTTCCGTTGAGCCGGGTCACCTCGATGCGGTCAGTGCCGGTGTCGGTCCAGTATAGGTTCCTGGCGATCCAGTCCACAGCGATGCCATCAGGGTGGTTCACCTGCGATGTGACCACGAACTGGGCGTCGCTGCCGTCCAGCAGGGAGCGGCGGATCGCCTTCACGTCGTCGTCCGTCCAGTAGATGTATCCCTCCACCGGGTCGTAGTCGATGGCGATGGCGTGGCGGATGTCGTCCACCTGCAGGATGATGTCGGTGAAGTCGGGCGTGTCCAGAGAGATTCGCCGCAGGTCTGTCCGCCGGGCGAGAAGCAGCATCTGGGTCGCACCTGAGGACGGAGAACTCGGGTCAGAACTCACAGCTGGATCAGAAACTCCTCTACGAACACCCAGAGAGACAGGGCTGCACAGGAAGTGGACCTGAGTGCTTCTGCTCTCTGTAGTCACCTGATGGTCTGGGTTACTTCACAGATCACAAGTGGAAATAATACCAAATACAATCAACAAACACATTATGGTCGGCTTCCAACAGTTACTCATATTAATTATCACAGAGGAACCGAAACATCCTGGATCAATGAAGACATGCAGCACGGATCAGAACCAGAGAACAGAGGAGCCAGTTGGTGGAGATACATTCAGCTGATGGTGGAACATCTTTCTACAGCTGATGGTTGAACATCTTTCTACATCTGATGGTGGAACATCTTTCTACANTACACAGGATTACTGAGTACACAGGATTACTGAGTAGATCTTAAACAGCAGGGCGATTACAGGTGCGTGAGAACACCAGTAACTCCAGTCGGTGTTTAACTTTTAATCTGTCGGTACAAACGATGGTTTCACTGGTTTTCTACGACCAGAACCCGTCAGCTGAGTCCGTCAGCGCTCCCAGGAGGTTCAGAGCTGCTCTGACTAACCAAACAGTTTATTCTCCTGAACTGTAACCCGACCACTGACAGATAACAATCTATGAAAACGTGACGCCAAGCGACCGAAACTAAACGACCACAAAAGATGACAAACGACCAAAACGTGGCACAAACGCCACACATCTCTCATATGTGTGTCTGCTCTGCGATCACGACTCGTATCAGCGTCTCTGTGGTGTTTCAATAGTTATTCAGAACACATCGGATCAGATCTGGACTGCTGGGCAGAGTTTAAACATGATTTAAGCCCCAGTTCAGACGTCAGGCAGCACTGTAAAACTCTACTGTTCTTATTAAAGTGGAGGCTTCACAGAGCTTCACCGACGGTTTATCTCTGGTCAGAGAACATCAGCTCCCTCCAACCGACTCACGTTATAGATCAGAACCTGGATCTGGCCCAGACTCTCCAGAGGAAAGTGCATGTTTGAGGTTTTCTTCTCCTTTCTGTGTTTACTTTCAGTCAGAAACAAATGATTCATGTAAAATCTGGTTTACATATCGAGGACATGTTTAGCAGAAGGCCTCCAGGACAGAGGCGGCGACGGCCCAGGCTCGTTTATGGGAAACACAGCAGCTACGCTGGAGGGAGGGACCAGGTTCTGGTTCTGTTCTCAGCAGTCTGGGTTCAATGGGCTGAAAAACACTGAAGTCCAGATTTTAGACCAGACTGGTTCTGATGCATCTCAGAAAATCCCACTCTGAATAAAGAAAGAGAAGGAAATGTGACTGTTTGTGTGGCGTCTGGAGGTGAAACATCAGAACCGTGGAGCTCCAGAGTAAAAACACAAAGTCTGGAGGCTTTAGGTGAGAACACAGTGAAGCTCTGTTAAAGCAGAAGCTCTTCTCTCTGACTTCAGAAGGTCCGTTAACGGACGCCGATCACAGCTGCTACCGGTGATTACGTTCAGCATTTATTGTTTTCTGGAATATTTAATCAGCCGTTTGTCTCTAAAAGTCAGAAAACAGAGAAAAAGTGGATCACAGGTCCCTCCAACATCTGGTTCAGTCCAGAGATGCTCAGTTTCCTGTCACAGAGGAAAGAAACCAGAACACATCCACCGAAGAAGATGATTCTAGGAACAAATGACTGTAGCTGGTCTGAACAGCTGGAGGCTGGCTAATGCTGCTAACTGACAAACCAGCACTGTTGCTTTACAGGCTCTAGTCGCCATTCTCACCATCCTTTGGGATTTCAGAGACCAAACAATCAGAGGTAATGAACCAGTCACTGATGGACATGCCAGTAGGTTCCCGACAGAGGGCCGGTACCACAGGTTTAACAGATTCTGTCAGGGCTGGAGGTGGACTGGACAGAAGCTAATCAATGTTTTCACTGTGTTCTATCAGATCTTTAATCGAGGCTGCATTCCAGCTCTGCTCAGATCCAGAATGTGAGGTTCTACGGCCGGTACCTGGTTGCCGTCCTCCTGGGCCCGGCGGATCACGTTCTGCTTGGAGTCGATCCAGTACAGCTGCTTGTCCAGCGGGTCGTAGTCGATGGCCCGGACGTTCCTCAGGCTGTGGATGGGCAGGATGATGTCGGGGCTCTGCTGCTCGTCAATCACCATCCGGTTGATCGCCGTCTTCTGGCTGAACAGCAGGAACGACGTCGGAGCTGAAAGGAGAAAAACATCCATGAGACTCTGTGACTGCAGCTTCTGCAGTGAGTGTGTTCTGGTTTCGCTCCTTCTGTCAGAAAACCGAACATCTTTGGACTAAACAGGACATCTAAGGAGATATTTAAATCAGATTCTTTCAGTCTGAGATGAAAATATCAGTCGATTGATCAGTTAACTGGATTCTGCAGCTTTTTCTTGTCTTTAATTAAAGTTTTAGGTCATTCTTTGTGCTGTTTCCATGAAATGAGACGTGTAACTTCATCAGACCTGGAGTTGGGATTCAAATTCTTTACTTTTGTAATTAATGACTGATGAAACTAAGATGAGCGGCAGCCCTGATGGGAACAGGTCCCAATAATGTCATGAGGTAAGCAGTAGAAACAGGACTGATGTGATGATTAAAAATATTCAGAACCACAGCGTTCCACAGGTACTGTAACCTGATTGGCTGCTGCTGAGTGGCTGACAGCGGGCGTATTATCAACCTGACCGGTGGGGAAATGACCAGCCTCTCCCGCCTGAGGCTGTGGTGACCAATGGGAGAAGGGCTCGTTCTGTTGTTGTTGTGTGAACAGACTGGACAGCGACGTGTTGCTGAACTCCCACATTTACCCGGTTTCCAGGGAAACCAGAACCAGTGACCCGTCGGAGCGAGGCCAACTCACCGCTGCAGGTCTTGTTGTCGTAGTTGAGCGAGAAGTGGGCGGGGCATCCGCAGACGAAGCTGCTGACGGGGACGGCGAGGCAGAGGTGCGAGCAGTGGCCGTTGGTGGAGGCGCAGGCGTTCCAGCCGCCCTGCCGCGACGAGTGGAACACCAGGATGTCCATGACGTAGTCCAGGTGGCCCTGGATCACCGTCCGGTTCTGGCCGCTGGTCTTGTTGGCCCGCTCGATGCTACGCTGGCTCCAGTCTGTCCAGTAGATGTAGTCCTGGTACTGAGTGAGACCGAACGGATGGGGAAGGTCGTCGGCGATCACCTCGCGGTCCTGACCTGAAAAACAACCGGCCAATCAGGAAACAGACACAAGACAGGAAATGAACCGTTTTAATTCCTAAAGGTCCAAATCTGTTTATTAACAGTTTTAAGCAAATTGAAACCAGTTTACCCCCAGTCTAAACCAGACTAAACCAGTTTAATACCAGTCTAAACCAGA